GGTTGTAATATTTTATAAGTATTACCAAGCCAAGTTCAAAATGGTGGGATGGAAGAAGTAATATAAACACTAAATGATTAGTAATTATAAGTAACTTAGTTTATTTAATAAAAGGTTAATAATTTTATAATTACATTTTATACAATTTATATTTTATAAAAATTAAAATTTTATATTTTTTAATAATAATATAATTAATATAATAAGAAAATAAATAATAATTTTTAATTTTAATTTATATGATAAAATATCTTTTTTTAAAGGAATTTTGATAATTTAAAATAATATAATTTTTTAATAAATTAATATCAAAAACATTATTCCAATAATATATATTTTTACATTTTTAAAAAATTAAATTATTTAAAAATGCTAATCAATTTAAAGAAAATATATATGTATTTATAAATATAAAACATTATTTTTATTATTATAAAATTAATTTTATGTCACTTATAATTAATATTCATTATCAAAACTTGATATAAGTCCGAATTTTAGTAATTCAATAAAAGGCTATCCAATTTTTAGATTTATAATAAATGTAATTAATAATTATAATAATTTTAATGAATTCATTTCCTCCGATTTCCAACATCCCCCATATTTTCCTATATTTTTTAATAAATTTCTTTATAAAAGCATTTTCAAATTTTACATAATTTTCAAGATAAGAAGTTTTTTTAATAAACTTTTTTCATACATAAGATATACATCTCACTATTTTCCGCGATATTCAAATTAAAAATTTCCTTATTTTTATTTTCATTTATAAAAGGATATCAATAAAATATTATATACAAAATAACTTCAAAAAAATTATTATCAATTTTTTCTTTCGTCAAATTTTTAATCTAATAATACTAATATAATAAGATTTATTTTGATTATAATAAAATAATTTTATATATATATTTTTTTCTTTAAGTTTTTGATTTAATTTTTATTTATATTTTTATCTAGACTAATTATTTAATAGCATCTTTTCATATAATCAAAATTATATTGAAAAATTTGAATAGATTATTGATAAATAATTTAATTTATTATTTATATTTTAAATATATATATATATATATATATATATATATATATATATATATATATATATATATATATACATTTTTATTTATATTTTCATTTTAAATATATATAATGTTTTTTTAAATTTGCTTCCTTATAAAAAATTTTGTTTTCTTCGTATTTTTTATTTTTAAAGCAAAATAATTCTTTCTTTTTATTAAAAATTTATTTTTAATATAATTTTCGAAAATTAATGTTAATATTTTTAATTATTTATTTATTTCTCATAATTAAATCTTCAATAAAATATAAGTTTAAATCTTCAATTTTTTCTTTTTTTATTATTTTTTTGAAATATTCTTTTAAATTTTCTTTTAAATTTTTTTTTTTAATTTTTTTTAAGTTAGATAATTCAATTATTTTATTCTTTTTTTCTTCTTTTTCAGAAAAAAAATCTTCACAAAAATTTAAATTTCTCATATTTTTTATTATATTTTACTCTTTATAAAAAAACTCACAAAAATTTAAAAAAATATCACAATTTAATTTTTATATATCCTAAAAATATAAACAAGGCAAATAAATTACTTTAAAATCTATTTTTTATTCAAAATATGCCATTTTTTCATAAAAAAGTTCCCTTTTTTATAATATAACTTCCTTATTTTTCCCCTAATAAAATTTCTCTCCAATATATACATCTAAGGAGTTAAAAATGAGTACCTACTTTATATGTTTTAGATTAAAATCATCAAAAATAGTCTAATAATTGATAAAATAAATATTTTTAATTCCTTCTTTTTTCTAAATTGAGTAAATTCCGTCAAATTATAGAAAATTTTTAATATATTTTTGGAAAAACAAGTCCCATTTAGGATTTTAATTTGGAAAAATTAACAAAATAACGTAGTTTAAAGCTTAAATTTTTTCAAGATTTTCCTTTATATTTTTAATGAAAAAAACTTGATCATTTTCCGATTAATTAAAAAAAGATATTTTTTAAAAAAATAAAATTTCTGTGTGAAAAATAGCGATTTTTTTTTACTTTTTTTTGTGAAAAAAAATCCAATTTTTTACCAAATTTAGTGCTATTTTTTTTTTAGGCTTTTCTTAGATTTATTAGGATTTTTGATATATTTTTTAAATTAAAGGAATTTATTTTGGTATTTTATTTATTAATGGAAGGGCAATTTTTTGATTTTTTTTGGGTTTTTATTGTAATTTTTGTCTTTTATACTACATTTTTTTGTATTCAATATTTGATATGTTATTTGATTTTTATAATATTAATTCTATAGGAGTTTAAAAATGTTAATTTTATTCTATATAATGTTTTTTTTAAATAAAAAATAATATCCTTATTTTGTAATTTTTATTACCTGTTTTTGATACATTTTTTTGTGTTGAAATTTAAGTAAGTGATTTTTTTTAAATATTTTTTAGAAGATATAATAAATTAAACATGATTTTTTAACGCGTATGAATTATTTTATTTGCTTTATTAACATCCATTTTTAAAATATAATATAATTTTAATATTTTTAACGAATATATATATATAATTATACTTTTAATTAAAAAAAAGTCCCGGTTAAATAATTAGAAATAAAAAAGTTATATTTTAATATATGTATATATATTTATAAATTTTTAGTATAATTATTTTATTTTTTAAAATAATTATTAAATTAATATAATTTCAATAATTTTTAAATGTTATTAAAAAACTTTTTTTATAAAAGAAATCTATCTTTTATTTTATATTTCATTTTATTCATTTTTTTATAATACTATTTTTATTTAAATATTTTTTTATATATATTTATAAAACAAAAGTTATTTATATAAAAATAAAAATAGGTTTTTTTTATAAATCAATAATTAATATTTATAAATATAATATTATATATAATAATAATTTTTTTATTTTGTTTTTTCTAATAAAATAAAATAAAAATAAATAGAAAAGCAAACTTTAATTTTTTCTCACAAACCTTTATAATTTGAACAATCTTATCCATAATACCCTTTTGCGTAATAACACTATCCTTTTAAGCAAAATCCATTTGCACTACAGTAATTTGGACAGAATTTTTTAAACTAACAAAACTCATGTATTTTTTCTGGGCATTAAATATATCCTTAAAATCCACTAACATTGATTTAGGCTAAGTTTTAAGTACAAATAATCTTTTAATCTCCTACTTCAATAATCAATTATTATAAACTATGATTACATTAATATTAATAGCAATTACCCTATAATCTATCATCTGGTTTATAATTTGTATGTAATAAAGTCCCGTTAAAACATTTTGAATTAATCCCAAATCTAATTCCATATACAATCTAATTTTTTTTGTATTAAAATTACTATTAGTATCCCAGCATTTTGTATTAGAAAACACATTAGAAGTATTACAATCAGGGTCATTATACGTACCAATATCACAGCTAGAAGATCCATGGTGATAATAGTCACATAATCCTTCGTCTTTTACAGGTCTACAAAATTCTCTTATACTTTAGTCGCATTTACCAGTGATGAATTAACAACCTTTTCCTTATCCATAAGTTGTTTTTTCCTCCATAGAGGCGTTTACTTCAGCATAGAAACCTGTGTCTCTTAAAAGATTGGTTGTAAAACCACTAAAATAGGCCTAAGTAAGTGAGCTACTTGCATTCATGTATTCGTCGGCGATGGCTGTTTATTCCCAATGAGATCCTGCAGATCCGTTTCCTCCTTAATCTTCAAGAGGCATACCAGGTAAATATTCACATCCGTAATATTTTTTAGCGAATGCCAAAACATGAGGAGTTCTGAGAAACATTCTTTAAACTCCCCTTGATAAAACTTTAACAATAGGGTCAGTATAAGGCTATCCTTTAGAATTTATCCATTTTGGTACATCATTATCGCTAAAACCTAATATATGAGTCATTTCATGGATAACTATTTCCATTAAATCTTCAAATTCAACAGGATCTTCCAGATTTTTGGCAGCTAATAAACCTAAATTAAAGTTAACTGTACCATGAGTAGGTCCTAAATTATCTATAAATTAACACCAACCAGCATGAGCTAAAGTATTTTTACCTCGTTCAACTGTATATGATATATATAAATGTAAATCAGAATTTTTTCCCTAACTTCTGTCTATATCAGGAATTGGAACTAATCCACATTTTTTATTACTGTATTTAAATCTCATATCTGTTTCTTTTTTTGGAACTATTTTTATTAAACGAGAAAAATATTGAGTTGCCAAATTTAAAGCTTTCTCACAGCTATTAATTATACCAATTAGCTTATCTTTCAAAGGAGAATTAGCTAAAGGTTTGAAATAATCCATATTATAGGTAATTATCATATTACGAGCTTATTTATTTTATAAATACGAATATCTGAAGATTCTTCGACAGGATCTTAAGGGATTGATTCATATTTATAGTTTTCTCTAAATTTATCATGGCCACATTAGTGTTCGAGGACTTTTAGACCAAAAACAAAGGTTATTAATAATAGGATTATTATAAGTTTTTACATTTTTTAACTTTTTTTGTTA